AATGTGGCTGCAGTTACCACCAGTTCTAATAACCACGAAGTATATATTCTGACGAGACTTCATTCTGGAATGCCGGACCCATATTTCCAAATACTTTCCATCTCACTGACCCCAGTGTTTCAAACTCAACATGTTCAAAAACAAAATTCTGCCTCATATGTGCTCCTCTGCCTGTCACAAACCCAACATGTTCAGAACCAACGTTGTACCTCAAATGTGTTCCCTGCATATATTCTTTATTTTAGTAAATGCCACCACCATCCACCTACTTTCCTAAATCAGAAAAATTTGTATCATCCTAGACTTATATTTCCTCCAATACAAATATCCAGTCAGTCATCAACTCTAAAATTCTATCCCCTAAACATCTCTTAATCTGTCCTTTTCTGTTTGTCTCCATTGTCCTAATTCAGGAATTCATCTTCTCCTTTGAATTATTGCTATAGTCTCTGTGGTAATCTCCTTCTACTAATATCACTTATTCAGAAATCTGTAGTGTTTTGCTTATCTTTCTAAAGTAATGAGGGCCTGCAGTGGTTAGTTATTGCCACAATAATGCTGCATAATAAATCACTCCAAATATCAGTGGCTAAAATAACTATCATTTATTCTTATATATCTCTGGGTTGATTTGGGCATCTCTGTTTCAGGCTGCAGTGGCAAAGGATCAAATGATCTAGGCTGGGCTCAGCTGAGTAGCTCTACTTCAAGCTTCCAATTTCTGGGTTGGCAGGGAGATTCAGCTCTACCCATGCTCTTCTTTCTTAGACTAGGGAGTTGCGTAGTCATGTTGTTCACGTGGCAGTGATAGAAGTGCAAGAGAGCAAGCAGAAACGCACAGGAATCCTTAGGCCTAAGCTTGGGGCTGGCACTTTTGTCTTCAGACCATTGGCCAAACCTAGTAACATGGTCAAGCTCAAAGAAAAGAGGTAGAAAAATACATTCACCCGTAACGAGGTTATGGCAAGTGTGTGGATGCAGGGAGGGGTGAATAATTGGAGCCAGTTCTTCCCACTTTCACAGCCCACGCTCTGGGTCAAAATTATTTACATTCCTCCCACATATAAAATACTTTCACCCTCATCCCAAGACTGAGCCAATCTCAGCATCAGGCTTAAAGTCCAGGATCCCCTGTTCTATATCAGATATGCATGGGGTTCTTCTTGATCTAGAGACCTAAGAACCACGAGTTATCTGCACCACAACACAAGCAATATATGATGGTAGATCAGATACAGGATATCCTGCATAAAAATTTTCATTCAAAAAGGTAGAGAATGAGAGGCACATTTACAGTCTCGGCCCTGGCAGTTCTGAAATCCCACTAGAAATGTTGCCAGATTCTCCTGTCCTAAGGATTGTTCCTTGATTAGGTCCTGGTTCTGCTTCCTGACAGGGAAAGATTAGTGACAGGGACCTTCCCCCAGAGGTGACAGAGAAAGCCTTCCCCTTGAGCTGGCACCCTGAATTTGGACTTCTAGTCTCCTAGATTGTGACAGAATAAACTTCCAAGTCAACTTTACCTCCAAATCCTGTAAATCACCAAATCCTGTAAACTGTGCAAGAAAATCAATCTCTTTCTCTCTCTCACTCTCACTCTTGCTCTCATACACGCATATTCTCTCTCATATTATATATATGTATATATGTCTTAGTTATCTAGTGCTGCTATAATAAATACCACAAGTGGATGGCTTTAACAAACAAGTTTATTATCTCTCAGTATAGAAGGCTAGAAGTCCAAATTCAGGGCATTAGCTCCAGGGGAAGCCTTCCTCTCTCTGTCGGCTCTGGAGGAAGGTCCTTGTCATCAGTCTTCCCTTGGTCCAGGAGCTTCTCTGCACAGGAACCCCAGGTCCAAAGGATGTTCTCTGCTCCTGGTGCTGTTTTCTTGGTGGTATGAGGTGCCTCATGTCTCTCTGCTCGCTTCTCTCTTCTATATCTAAAAAGGGATTGACTTAAGATACAACCTAATCTTGTATATTGACTCCTGCCTCATTAACATAACTGCTGCTAATCCCACCTTATTAACATCTTAGAAGTAGGATTTACAACACATAGAAAAATCACACCAGATGACAAAATGGTGGACAATCACACAATACTGGCAATCATGACCTAGCCAAGTTGACACCTATTTTTCGAGGACCTCATACCACCAACAAACAAGAGCCAGGAGAATAACACTTCAATTGAACCTGGGGTCCCTGTGCTGAGAGGCTCCTCGACAGGGGAAGATTAATGACAAGGACCTTCCCCCAGAGCCTACAGAGAGAGAAAGCTTTCCCTTGGAGCTGGCACCCTGAATTTGGACTTCTACCTCCTAGACTGTGAGAGAATAAACTTCTGTTTGTTAAAGCCATCCACTTGTGGTATTTCTGTAATAGCAGCACTAGACAACCAAGACAATATATACATACGTGTGTGTGTGTGTGTGTGTATGTATATGCTTATTTTTCTATCTTTTTTATTTTGGCTTTATATTATTTTTCTATCTTCTATGTCCCTAACTCTACTTTCAGTCGTGTCTCATCACTCTTGGCTGTCTTGTAATTTAGTCATTATTTTTTAGACGATTTTTTTTTTTCTATTTAGTTTCTGTCTAGGGTTTGGTCAACTCTCATTTTGCATTTTCCTGTTATTTATACATTTATAATCTAAGTTTTTTATTTTCTTATGAATGATGTTTGTTTATATCTGCAGTTTTCTTATCATAAACCTAACCCATTGCCATCTAGTCGGTTCCCACTCATAGCAACCCTAAAGGACAAAGGAGAACTGCCCCACTGGGTTTCCAAAGATGTAATCTTTGTGGAAGCAGAGTGTCCCATCTTTCTCCCTCGGAGTGGCCAGTGTGTTCAAACTGCTGACCTTTCGGTTAGCAGCCAAGCACTTAACCACTGTGCCACCAGAGATCCTCGCAGTTTTCTTAATCATAACTAATTTTTAACTCACGTTGGAGGGTGGATTTTACAGTCATTTTTCATGTTTTCTTTCCTTTTTTTTTTTTTTTTTTGCTGTTAGTGGAGAGTGGGTATATTTGCCAAAATATTTTAGCAAGTGTTCATTTTCCTTTTTTTAAAAAAATAACTTTGCATAGAAGCTGGTTATTGTTGCTGACATTTTTTGTATGTTGGGTTTTCCTGTACCATCAATATCAGCAGATCTGTGGGGATGGAGATGGGGTTTCAGTGACTTTGATACTGATGGAGGATATCCTGTAATTCCTGTTTCAAGAGTATATCTCCTGTTGCTGCAGTGAAGTACTCTTTCGTTTATAAATGGCCCTTTTTTGCCTTCTACTTCTTTACAAATATTAGGATTCATTGGGGTCCTTCTCTTCAGCTCTTGTTTCATTTCTTTCACCACTTAACCTTCACAGGAGACCTTTCACCTCTCTTTACCCCAAAGTTAAAACTTCATTTCTGATCCTATGTAGTTTTCAACCTCCTTCTTCAACTTTGCAGTAGCCCTGCTCAGATCTTTCAGGCCTCAGGCACATTTTCAGTATTTCCTTACTTATGGTAGTACTCTCTCTTTCTTGGGGTGAATCTTAGTTGATATTGTCTCTGTACCACCACCATATGGACCAAGCCATATTCACTTCTTGTCTGCACATATCCCACATGATTCTGATCTTTTATAAACTCCAGAGGTGACTTGACTAGTCTTGAAAGATTATTTCTTCATTTTTAACTAATAAACATTCCGTTTGGGACTGTAGCTCATTTTTCATTGATTATGCCTTTTCTCTCTTATTCACTACTATTGCTTTATGGTTTCTTCTATTTTCTTGAAGAATTACATACTCAGCAGGAATTAGTCTCAGGATAACCTTTGAACCTTAGAGTTGAAAAATTATAAAATTGTCCTCTCTGTTTAGCAAAAAAGTCAGGTTTCTAACAGACATTTATAGTCCAAACTCTCTGGTATTAATTTTGATCACTGTTTTTATATTTATTTCTTCTGCTTACACGTGTCTACATTTTTTTCAGCTGCCTGCTGAATCACTCTTCTATCGTGCCGTCCTTCAGGATATTATTAAAGATTGTTATGGTATCACCAAATGGTATGATGATTTTATTTTAATTAGAATAACTGTGTTATACTGTAAGTGAAGTGATTTTTAGTCCTCAGATGAACTTATGCTGAATCATTATTATGGGTAAAATAAGCCTTGAATTTGAGCATAATGCCAGTAACTGACAAAGATACTGACAACTGTATCTTAGGTTAATTTTCATTAAATTGGGGATTCTAATGATTCTTCTTGCCCAGAAAGGTGTTGTGATGATAAAGTAATACAGTAAGTCCCTGGGTTATGAACATCTAACAGCTCATAGTTACCCTTTAATGTTATGTAAATTTGCCCTCACTTTGAAACGATTGACCAATCCCTACTTACAACAAATTCTTCATCACAATCACCTTCACTTGCTGTATGTGCAGCTTTCAAATCATTGAAAAGGCTTTGAGCCTTTTCTTGCACTAAAGTAAAGCTAAGTAAAAACCGTTTGCACCTGTTCTGATTTACCTGCACATTCAGCTTAAAAACACACTTAAGAAATGGCTCTTGCTCGTAACTCGGGGACTACCTATATATGTAAAATGTACTTGAGAATTTTAGTTTATATATAAGTAATTGCATAAATGTAATATTATCATATAAGCAGAAGTTATGTTTAAAATGTTTCACGACCAGTACAGCAGAAACACTAATTAGAACAGATACCGATCATAAACAACCATAATAGCCATTTGGGTCTCTACTAGTGGAGTAGTAGTCCTGCAAAAGTTTTGTTTTGCTTCTGTTTTCCTCTACTAATACGATGCTTATACAGAGAGGCAGGGAGTGGGAGAATTTTTCCACAATATTGGTTCAGCAACTGCTGTATTCGAGATAAATTTGCAGTTTTGGGAGATGTCATGAATGTCCTCTTGCTAGTTACGATTCTTGGGATTCTGGTAACCATGTGTTGTAATAGGATTATTCTTCAAATTATAATGGGGCAGTTTTCAGATTCTCATAAACTAAACCACACTTATTAACAAAGATAGAAAGGATATTTAGATTACCTATTATTTGTGTGGAAGCAAAAAAAACCTTTTTTTTCCTGATAGAAATTACTACATACAAATATCTACATATCCCCTTAGTTTCATCTGTCATCTCTATGCAATTAACTCCCAAATTTATATCTCAATCTTCATTCTCTTTCAATATATTTACCAGTCTTCAAAATGTCTAAGAGTGAATTCCTCATGTTCTTCTGAAGACTAGCCTCTTCTTTTGAGCTCACCCCAAGATGAAGAAAGTCACAAAGTTGTGCAGATTCGTATCCATTCAAAATATTGACCATCTGCCTTCTTTTAAGTACACAGAATTTGTCAGTTTGTTTATTATTCTCTTAATGACTTCTTAAAATATTCCCCTTTCTTTCTAAACCTTTCTTCTGTCTTGAGAACTCAACACTCTCCAATCTTGTACACTCCTGCCTTCCTTTGCTACATTCAATTCCATAGCCTTGTTGAACTTTCAGCCACATTTGACCATGTTGATAATTGTATTTTTGTAAGCATTCTTTCTCATTATCTTCCATTATGCTGCATTCCTCTGAGTTTCTTTCTCCCACTCTGAACAATCATCCGTTTCATTAAGGGTTCTTCTTACTCCATCCTCTAAGTATATCTAGGCATTCTCAAATGTTTTATACTTGATTCCTGTCTCTTTTTGCTTCTGTCTATAAGCAGTTACCCTCATCACAAATAACTCTTGAATCATGTATCTGCCTCCAACCTCTTTTTAGAAGTCCGTGCCTACATTTCCGATTTTCATCTGAACAACTCCACTTAAGTATCTCACAAAAACTCCAGATTCAGCTGTGTTCAAAAACCAAAGTCATCTTCCTGCCAATTCTATTCCTTCTTCTTCTATTGACTTTCTTGTTTCTGGGAATGGCATGACTATTATCAAGGTTTAGAAATCTTAAAATAATATTTGATTCTTCTCCCATCATCAGACTACACATTCTAATTAATTGTCAAGACTTACACATGTTAGGTTTTTTTAATCCAGCAATTAATTATTGTGTGTCAGGCAGCATGTTAGAGGATTCAGGATGCATAGGATATGGTGTCTACACAGGAGCATTTCATATTTTAGTTAGGATGACATATGTAAAAATTAATTGCAAACAAAATAGTAGAAACCAACTTCTGATAATAGCAGACTAGATGATTAGGAACAACCCTCCTTCTCAGAAAAGCTAAAAACACTGAAGACATGTGTGTGTTTGTGTGTGTGTGTGTGTGTGTGGGTGTGTGTATGTGTGTGTATAAATTTGTTTTTAATAAGTTTGAGGGAATCAGTGACCTGTCAAGGAAGTCAAGAATTATAGGGCAAATATCCAGAAGAAAATGGAAACTATGATAGGTGAACTCAGTTTTTAAGGCTACCTTTTCTCCAGAGGCATCTGCCAATTCTTTGATAATTAGCTATCCACCAATGAGTAGAGGGTCAAGAGAAAGTGACCAGGGTTTTCAACAGAATCACAGTTCTATTAGAGTTCATGGCCTACCTAAGATGAGGATTTAGGATTAGGACAGATAAACCACTTATATACTTTAGAGTTAGGTCTCTGAAGATTCATACTGTAAAAGTAAGAGTGAACAGAAAATAGAAGAGTCTTAAGCTAGACTAAAGCTCAACTTGAAATGATTAAACTATTTGAGATTACTGTTTCCCCTAGCTGCCTGCGAGAAGCAAATACACTTCAGATTATCAATACAATTTGTTATATATAACAGCCGACCATGACAGAATAAAAAAAAATTGTTCCAACTAACAGTAACAGCAGAGACATCTAGCATAATCTGGAAATTTTTGAAATAAACTAAAAAATGGAGTTGAGGACTACCACTAGGGAGGAAGACTATGATAACTTTAGTTTGGGATCTTTGAACCTTTGTATTTTCTACTTTTAGTATTTGATGTTTATTACCCAAGAGATGATATGTTACACTGTAATATACGTATATATGTATGTAAATTATATATATGTAAAATCCCTATGATTAATTAAATAGTATTAAACATGATTCAATCTTAAGTGCATATGGAAGTTTTATTCTTACCTTATTTGCCTTAGTACTTATTTCTTTAAAATGCTATAGATTCATGATGTAGTTGCAGGGAAATTAAAACTGAACAGCCCCATATGATAACAAAAGCACAAGCAGCAAAAGACAAAATAGATAAATGGTAAGCGGGACCTCATAAAAATTAAATACTTTTGTTCATCAAAGGACTTTATCAGAAAAGTTAAATACAGTTTTTTCAATTTGGAAGAAAATTTGGGGGAACTGTATAGTATCTGATAAGGGTCTAAAATCCAAAATATGTATATATGTTGTTGTTGATAGGTGCCATCAAGTCAGTTCTGACTCATAGTGACCCTATGTACAACAGAACAAAACACTGTCCAGTCCTGCACCATCCTCACAACTGTTGCTATGTTTGAGTCCATTGTTGCAGCTAGTGTGTCTTGTTGAAGGTCTTCCTCTTTTCTGCTGACCCTCTATTTACCAAACATGATGCCCTTCTCCAGGGACTGGTCTCCTCTGATAACATGTCCAAAGTACGTGAGACGAAGTCTCGCCATGCTTGCTTCTAAGGAGCATTCTGACTATACTTCTTTGAAGACAGAAATGTTCATTTTATATATATCTGACTATACTTCTTTGAAGACAGAATTGTTCATTTTATATATATATATATATATATATA